ACCAGGAACGAATATTTGAAGTAAAACAAGAATCAAGATAATTATTTGAAAGAAAGTGATTGACTCTGATTGTAGTGAGTTATGATTTGCATGTGTTTGTATCTTATATCCATAAATACTGAGAACAGGTTGAACTTTTCCAGACAGTTTGATGGTGTTTGCTGGCTGTCTCCCTGAAACTGATCTGGGTTGTAATCTAGTCTTTGGGATTTAAAAAAATTCTTCAGATGATTCTAATTGCAACTAAAGTTGAGAACCACTATTTAAAAACAAACAAAAAAGTAAAACAAACAAAAAATATACCTTCCCACATCCGGACCACACCCCAGACTAATTAAATCAGAATCACTGTGGATGAGGATCGGGTATCCGCGTGGTGAAGAGTGCTCCTGGTGATACAACGTGCAGCCAGGGTTGAGAGCCACTGTTCCTGATGCTCATCTGGGTCTAATCTCAAGTGTTAAGGATTTGCTCAGCGATGCCTACATTAATTTTCATCATTTTTATAGTTTACCATGACAAAGTAAACACACCTACTTTAAAAGAGAAAGCATTTGTTATTGAAATTTCCCCCCAATCCCTCACAGCTTTGGTTTTACAAGTCTAACATTATTTAGTCCCTCCCCAAACTGTTCTATTTATAAGGTGGCTTTTGATCGTGTGATTTTTCCAAAGATCACAAGCCTCATGGTGGTAAGAGTGGATTGCTATCCTTCATTTCCCAGAATTTACTATGCTTCTGGTAAAAGTATCCCTGGAACTACATTTGAAGAGCCACTTTTCTTTAACTCTTAGTTTGCATTTTTTCCTGGCCAGGTCAGAGTTGGAGAGGTCCTGATTAGTGTAGACCAATTAGCACATTCCATCTTTATGATTATGATTGGTTCTAAAATGAACACATGGTCACTTTATAGCCAATGAGAGTTGAGCTTATCTCAATGGGATGTGAAGCTGAGAAGGTGTGAGTACAGGAGCTTTGGAAACAGACACTGAGGATGAAGCCTATACACAGAGGAGCACCACAGAGCTGTGGTTCACCCTGTCTTGGTGACATGGTAAAGTCATTCAAACCAGCAGCACCAGACAACATTCTTTTATCTGAATGGATGGATTTCTGTGAAAGCCAATTTGAACTGGAGTTTTTAATTAATGACTATAAAGAGTCTGACTGATAAAACAGAACAAATACAGAATTTAAATAGCACAACTGAGCTTCTCAGTTATCTCTTGCTTATTTCTTCGTTTGGTTTTTGCAACAATGCCATGGAGTCAGTGGACCAGAGCTTTAGACTGTGTGCCCCACGAAGCCAGGAAACAAAGATGCTTTGTTCCATCTCCTCATATCTGGCACAGTTACATTTATTTTATACATGGAAGGCATTTAATAAATAATTGTTGAGAGGATAAGTGAATTCTAAGTTTTCACGATGTGAATTCAGCCATTCTCAAGACTCTCCCCTTTATCTTTTTCTGTTTATTTTTTCCCCCTGATGGGCGTTCATGTTTATTCAACTTTTTACTATTCAAAACAATGCTGGTATGAGCATCCTTTTAATGAATCAATCCATTATTTCTTATTAACTCAGGGCTTTTATCTGAGTCATTGCTTCCACTTAAAATACTTTCTCTGCTACTTCTGCCTCCCAAATTCTCATCCATCCTTCAAGACCCAGGATAAATACACTTCCTTTAGGAAGCTTGCTTTGGTTCCTACCAGTTTGACAGAATGGCTTCAGCCTTCTCTAAATTCCTGTGAGGAAAGGAATAAATACTCAGACAGACTGGATCGGAATTTCTATTGTGTCACTTTCTAGCTGTGCAAGAAATAACTGAGAAGCTCAGTTGTGCTATTTAAATTCTGTTCTGTCACTTAACTGCTATAAGCCAAGATTTCCTCAGTACTAAGTTGAGATTAAAATACTACCAACAAGGACCAGCAGTTAGCGTAATGGCTATGTCACTGGACACCCATGTAGTTGACCACGGTTTGAGCCTCGGACCCGGTGGCTTAAAAACTCACACTGGGCACGTGTACGTGCGTGCCCATGATCCCAAGAGGAGAATGGAGAAGAAGGTATTGCAGTGTGGCCATCCCCCTTGGGAGATTATTTCTCACTTTCTGTCTCTCTGTCTTTCTCTGTATCTGGTGAGTGCATGTGCCCTGTAGCAAAAACCTCTCAAAAAAAAAAAATACTACCAAACTAGGCTAGCAGCCAGTGGCATGGTGGTTAAGATGGCTGGATCTCACATGGCCAGCTGTGTGGTTTAAGTCCTGAGCTGGTGGCTTGGAAAACAAGTTGGCCACATGTGTGCATGCCCAAAATTCTTAGAGGAGAATAGAGGAAGAGGGATTGTGGTATGGCCATTCCTCTTGTGGGGGAGGGTGATTTCTCACTTTCTCTCTCTCGCTCTCTCACTCTCTCTGGCTCTCTCTCACACACACACAAGTGCATCCACCCATAGGAAAATGAAAAAAAGCACTGGAGCAAGTAGGTGGCAAAGTGGTTAAAGTGCTGGACTCACATATGGTCAATCATGGTTTGGGTCCTGGACCTGGAGACTTGAAACTCATACCAGGTCATGTGCTTGCGTGCCCAAAATCCCAAGAGGTGAATGGAAGAGAATGGATTGTGGCATGGCCATCTTCCAGAGGGTGATTTCTTGCTTTCTGTCTCTGTCTCTCTGTCTAGTGCACACACCCTATAGCAAAAAAATCTCTCAAAAATATTAGTATTACTACCAACTTCATATGCCTGTTTTGAAGAACAGATGAAATATAATATACAGAGTAAAAATTTCTTGTGCGTTTTTTTCACATTTCTCCTTTTTATGTAAGATCTCACAGGGGTAATTTCTAAGAGGTATTGTTATCCTATTTCACATGCAAGGCATTGGGCAATCAATTGACCCATGACTAAGGTCAAAGGACTATTCAATAATATCTTCCTTTATAAGTCATTTATTGAGCTCCTACTACGTGTCATCACTGTGGATTCTAGGGGCAAGTGATTCTGACACAAACGTGTATAATGAATGCTACAAATGAAGTTTAGAGTATTATGGGGAGGGGACATTACAGGTCGAAACTTGGCCATAGACTTCTCTGAGTTATGACATTTAAATTAGGTGGGAAGAGTGTGAGTTCTCTTTTCTCTGTTACACAAATGCCTGGTTCAACCTATTTCTGTCCTTTCTTTTCTGAGGACTATGATTTTGGCAACCTGGCATCTCCTGTCTTCAGACTCCCTTCTTTGGCTAGTCCCAGGGACATGTAGCATCCCCTTCCCTCCAGGATGAGGATGACAGGGAGAAGGTGACTCCCTTCGTGACTCTAGCTTGTCTGTCTTTGCCTGTCTCTTTATCAGTGCTGCTAGTAATTACATCAGCCCACTTTCTATGCCTCTCCTCTTTGGTCAGATGTCTGATGATATTTCATTGTTTTCTGAAATTACATCCATGAGATTTTAAATAAAATGAGAAATGGGCTCTTATAACCTTCACATTGGCACTATGCATTTTTTTTTCCTTTTAAAAAATTTTATTTATTTTTTTTCTGAGAGGGATATAGAGAGAAGAACCCCTAACATGGCCCTGATGCTGTGATATATCTGCAGCTTCAGTCAGCCTCAGATGATGGGAACATGCATGACCGGCATACCCAGGGAGGTCTCTGGATACAAACCTGGAATGCTCCCACGTGGGTCAGCCAATAAACATTGCGTTTATTGCACAGTCTGGCCCTTCTATGCAATTTTTTTCCATTCTTTCTCCCATACCACAACCAACAGAGTTGACACAGTCCCTGCTCACAGACTGGTCTTCTCCAGGGGCTTTTGCTGGAGGATGCCTGAGACTGACAGGCTGCATGTAGGCAGCACAAGGATTGTTGGCAGACATAGTAGTTAAAAATCTAACTTCTGGGGACCAGCAGTTGGTGTAATGGCTATGCCACTGGACTCCCACGTAGTTGACCATGGTTCAAGTCCCGGGCCTGGTAGCTTAAACTCACTCAAGGCATGTGTGCATGCATGCCTGAGATCCCGAAAGGAGAATAGAGGAGAAGGGACTGCAGTGTGGCCATCCCCCTGAGGGGTGATTTCTTGCTTTCTGTCTCTCTCTGTCTTTCTGACAAGTACACACACTCTATAGCAAAAACCCCTCAAAAAAAAACTGACTTCTGAAAATAATCCAAAGTTTTGGCAGTATCATTCCCACATCTCCACGTGGCAACATTCTGCTTTAGCTTAGTGGCAGCTGTCTCCTGTAGACAGGGCATTGAAGCCTCAGTAACCACAGACCTCCCTGCTCCTTATTGTATCCCCACTCCAGCCTGCTTCAGTCATCTGCCATGTTTGCTTGCTCTCTAAGGGCACTTAAACTTGTACCGAATTTTAACTTAGATTTAACATGGACCTGGCATCTTGTAAGTGTACCTATTATTAATAGTAATAATGGTAATATTATTCAAAAAAATAGCGCTCCTAAAGCTTAGTGAAAAGGATATAAGCCCTTTCCTGAATAGCAATTGAGTAGCAATTGTGATAACTCAATGAAATGTTCAAAACACACCCTCCCTTCTTCCTAATCAGCACTTCTACACTAGAACATTTCTTAATAAATTGTACAAACTCTTTACGCATAATAGAAACAGTGCATGTTGCAGCTAGATGATTATTATTATTTACCATCATCACATAATTAGACATAATTTCAATAATTGCCCAAACACAGTCTACATGAATAAATATTCCTTAGGAAAACACAAATTAGTGAAAAAAGAATCCAAGTTTGTAGTGAGAGCTGTAAGGTCCAGAAGGTACTTTCTGTTTTGAGTCAGGCCAGCACGATGTGCACAGAAGGGGTCATTGGGAACATGGGCCAGCCAGGCATGTGAGTCTTCCTGAGAACAGACTTAAGGCAGAGAGTTTTCCCTGGCTTAGTCTCTAACAATGTGGTTCTATCCATCACTAAGATTAATAACACTTGAGTGAAACTTTAACCTGCTTTCCAGTGAACTGTTGACTGTTTTTCTGCTTCAGTAATCTCTCCATTTCTATTCAACAGTCATTGGGTGGCTTCCTGCGCTGCGGGCGCTGTCCTAGGTGCTGTAGACACCACAGGACACAAGGAAGAATTGGAAAGTTCCTTGTTGGAGAATATGATTCAGCATCCTCCTCCTCTTGGATCTCAGGGAATGGGATACCATCTGTTATTCCACAGGTACACGTTGATCTCCTGCTATATGGCACTCGGTGCTAAGCAGTGTGCAATAGTCAAGCCAGATATGGCTTATCTTTCTTGGAGTTCACATTCTAGAAGGTGACATTCTAGAACTCTCTTAGAGTTCACATTATAGAATTTTCTTGGTTTGATTATATATTCATCTGTCTGAGTACATAATCAAACCAAGAAAATTGCTGGTAGTGACAAGTGCTATGACAAAATGAAATGATGTTAGAGGTATACATGGAGGAGCACTTACCACAGAGCCTGACTTATGGGCACATAATTAAGGTTCTGTTCCAATTTTCTTCCCTGTCCAGAAAACTTGCATGATCTTCCCCTTCTCAATGAGTTCTATTCTTCTCTCCATTTTTGTCTTGGGTTCTGGAGTCAGAGAAATCTGGGTGTGAATACCAGCTCTGCCATTGTTACAGTCTTTGAGAAGTTTGTTTAATGTCTGTGAGCCTTAGTTTTCTCATCTGTAAAGTAGGGCTCAGGGTCATGCCCCTTGGGATTAAAGTGAGGACTAAAGAAGACATTGTATGTGAAGTATGTAGAGAATGCCTAGCGTACCTCAGGTACTCTAAAAATATTTTCAGGTGAGTGAATGATCTACATCCTGCTGGTGCTTACAAGTTCAACTCTTACCTCCTCTGTGAAGAATCTGGATGTCCCCTCTCCTCCCATGCACAGTGCCTTTGCTCTTTTAGGATGATGTTGACATTGTTATCTTATCTGCTAATTGTCTGTATCACCAAACCTAACTAAGCTCTTGTATCTCTTTTGCAATCCCCACTTCCATGCACCTAACATTCTACTGAGCTCTTGGTAAACACTCAATACATGTTTATAGATTGATGGTGTGTACATGAGTTGACTTCTCCCTGCCTCTCTTCCCCACCGATGCTTGGAGATAAAAGGGAGACATATGTGTCATAGTATTAGGATTGCAGGAGGAACATCCTCTCTTCTACAGGGATACTGGTGCTCAAGTGTGTAAGGCTGTTAGGACTACAGTCCTCAGATTCACAAAGACTGAATGCAGTAGATAACTTCTTTCTTGCATGAAGGAGAAATAAAGGATAATCGCAGGGCTTTCTTCAGCTCTATTTGTGTGTGTGAGGAGCGTTACACTGGCAGTAATTACAGAAAGGAAAGGAAAGGAAATGGAATAAGTACCAAAGGAGGAATTAGTTGTACTCGACCTAATTAAAATCCTATTGAAAAAAATCTTCTCTTATTTGGAAAGGTGATCTAACATAACCTTGAAACCATTGTATTAACCATTGCACTTTTCATTTTAAGGGGAATGAACGGCAGAAAGATCATTTGGGAAAGGCAACCCTTCACTTGCCTTTCAGAAATTAAATGACCTTGATTTCTGAATCACTTCCTTGCAATGAAATTAAATTGCATTGAACTCTGTCAGTTAACAAGGGGAAACTAATCAAGCCAGAGGGGGAGTTCACCCAACTTAATCTCTGCAAAAGGACTTTGAAAAGCTTTTGGGAAGGGAAAAAAGAACATAGAGGTGAGAGGCTTAGGCCTTTGGTTGAAGTCAGTTCAATTGTTTTCACTTTGTTTAAACATATACAGACACACATACACACACACTGAAGAAAGGTAGCCTTTCCTTCCAGGTGATAGTTGTCATGTGTCCCAATGGTATGGAGAAGTTTTTCCTACAGTCTATCATAATTGAGAAAATTATTTGTCCAGAGAGAGGTTGTTCCAGTCGATATATAACAACCACTCCCATAATAATTATCACTGTACATTTCTGATTGCACTAAACCCTCAGTGCAAATGAACTCAATCTCACAACTACTCATACTAGTTTCTCTTAATGTCTCCATTTTACACATAGGAAAATAGAGGCTCAGAAATGTCAAGTATTAAGTGGGACTATATCAGACTAAGAAGTTTCTGCACAGCAAAGGACACAGTAACAAATGTGAACCAACAACCCTCAGAATGGGAAAATATTTTTGTTAGATATGCCTCAGACAAGGGACTGATAACCAGAATACACAGGGAACTCAAGTGCCTTTTGTGAAAAAAAATGATTAACCTAATTAAAAGATGGGAAAATGAGCTGAACAAAAATCTAAGGAAGACATACGAACAGCCAAAAAGCATATGAGGAAATGCTCAACATCCCTCATCATAAGAAAGATGCAGATAAAAACCACAATGAGATGCCACCTAACTCCTATCAGAATGGCAAATATTAAGAATATAAAAAGTGATAAGTGTTGGTGGGGATG